TATTAAAACTACCTTAATGTAAATCCACTGCAAATATTAGTGATTTAGACTGAGAAGTAACTGTGACTTGCTGCTTAGTATTGACAAAAAAAATTGTTGCGTCGTCGTTGACCAACGCGTCTCATGAATCGTTGGGCATTGAGCACTTGCGTGGAGTAATCTTCCTTTACTTTTTTTTTTTTTTTTTTTTTTTTTTTTTTTTTTTTTTTTCAAATCTCGTCACGTCGCAGGCAGTCGGCGCGTTTTATCCTTTCGGCCAGGGGCTCGACGCCGTTAGAACCCGGGGTTCGCAGCCGGTCATCCAACCACGAACCCGCGAGTCTCAAATTCGCTTAACCTCCACGCAGCTTAGTAAACGAATTAGGCTAACGACTCCGGCACAATACTCTGTTTTTACACAATATTCTGTTTTCTTCTTTCACGGCATTATGTAAAACATAATTCATAATATCCACAATAAAAACTGAAATTGATTTCTCAATAAATTTTCTTTAAAAGACCCATAGAATATTCTAGAAAAGAAAGTAGACTATCGGACTATTGAACGTTGCGCGTCTGACGAGGGATTAAAAAAGTGCAAACAATAAGTAGATTTAAAATAAAAAAAGAAAAATACGCGTATTTTGTGTATGTATCGGGCATGAACCAATTGAAAATTTATTTTGGATCAAATAATTGTACAACAAAACGTACTTTTTTTACTGTATTATACTTCTAGATGTTTTTTTATTATGAACAATGCTTGAATAGCTAATGAATTTTGTATGTTTTTGTGAACATATTGATGAATATTGAACAGTTTCGAAACTAAGAAAATGACTATTAAAGACCAACTCGTTTGTCACGCTCTATTGGCATCTTCTCCTGACTGGGAATTTATCATCTAGGTCGCAATAGACGATGCGCTTCTCAAACCGTCCTGAAAGTTATTCGCTTGCCCTTTCGCCAAAGGCGCTGTGCTCTTTCTGCCCCTCCCCTTCCCACCACAAGTGACACTCATCCCGCGAAAACTCCCGTCGCAGCTGGGAGCCGAGATCCGAGCACTTGCGCTTGTCTGAAGCCAGTTGAGCTGGCGTTTATAATTTCAGAGCGAGCCTCGAATTAACGCCTTGACCAATAAGATTAAGGTTAAACTCCCATATTATTACTTATTACAATGAAGCAGTGAATTTGATAGTTTTACCAATAAATAAATATAATTATGTGTTTGTTTTTAATATTTTGAGCCCCCCTAAGAAACTGAGGGCCTCGGCGGTTCCCGGGTTCACCCATGCGTTGAAACGGCACTGTCTCTATACAGCGTATATTACTCTGTTCATTCGTACGTATACGAGAACGTACCTAGTGTTACTACAGAATTTCACAAATCTTCTCGTGCTGACCTTTACACATTGGACCACAGTATTTCTTGGCCGCACCTCAGAGTTTGTCCCAAATTCTGGGTGGGCGATCCAGTTCCTCAATTAAACAGATCACACCCAGTTGCCTGTCAGCCCAACAGGTTATGGTATAAATGTAATAAACGTGGAACCCAGAACGACCTCCTTGCCCCCAATACTTCTGAAATCGTTAATTCATACGTGCGATTCTAGACATCCAACTCTCCACGTATCACTCAAATGTCCCAAGACCCACGCCGAATCACTTGACTGTACTACCTGCAAACGTGTTTCGGATTTGTTGCATAATAATTAGATATAACCAATAATATAACTAAATCTGAAATGGCCAAGAGATTTGGGAAGGTGTGTGAACATATGCAATAGATGACCGATTGAGAATATTTCCTACGGCTGAAAACATTCAGTCTTACGTGGGGTTTGAACCCTCAGCCTTAGTGTTGACCTACTTTAGCTCACCGGCCCCAAGTTCCTGTCTCATGAGGCTGAATCACTTGACCACTCTAAATGTAAACGTGTTACGACTTAACAGTACTAAAACCAGGCTGTCTTTTTTTAACATACGCAGCTGGTAATGTGCATCATTCGCGTCCAATCAACCATGCCAATACAGTTTCTTTTGCATCAAAATATTTCAACATCGTACACGGTGTATGGAACAAATTTCTCAAAATTAGGTATCTACAGAAAATTGTGAAGAACATACTTACAGCGCGTACCACTAAAACAATGGTTTAGTTTACTTTCGTTTAATATTTACATTGATGAAATAGTGTTTTAAAAAATAACATCAACATTTTTTTCATATTTTCTCAATTTTTTGCTCTCCTAATAGTAGAATTAAAATGTGATTTTGATCGTATTAGAGAAGGATTTTTCATGAGATTCTATAAACAGGGTTTCATTCAAAAATTTGGAGCTACTGTCGCGAAAAAAGTCGTTTGAATTCTTCTCAAAATTCGCAATTGTGAGGTAATTATAGCGGAAAACGTTTGCATTTTCAAGAAATTTTATCAGATGTCATTTGAAGATAATCAGATATCATTCACAAATGCAATAATACACAACAACATTCATAATGTAAATATTAATGATATTAGGAATATTAAAAAACCTATTTGCGCAATTTTTTAAAAATCCATAGAATACAACAAAATGGCAGTTAGGTCTTGTTATTTACTGCAGTTAGAGCTATCAGAGCAAACTTTTGTTTTTTTAATTTAGAATCATTGTGAGAAAATCCTGTTTTTAATATAGGGCCATTTTTCATTCAAAATTGAACGAAAATTACTGATATTTTCAAAACAATGCATTTGTCATTAATTAGAGAACTGATTGTGGAGAACGAATTTAATGTGTAGAAAAAAACTAATAATATATTTGAGTGAGAAGTCCCAAAACATTTGAAATTTTCGAAAATTCTAATATCAATGGAAAATTGTTATCAGTCATTTTTATTAATTTATTTCACTCTTTTGTTAAAGCCAATTTAAAGTAATGAATGGTGCTACAACAGCAACAGCAGAATGGCACAGACTTTCCCGTATTAGTTTTCTATTCTTCCTTTGTTCTCGGCTAGCTATTCGAACTTGCCACATACTCTTGCCTACTACCATCTATCGCCGCCCAAAGTACATTTTTAAAGTTTTTCTCAATTTTTCGATTTCCTAGTTGTAGAACGGAAATATTATTTTAAGAATATTATAGAATAGTAAAACATCGTTCTAAATGACTTCTTTGTAAAATATAAAGCTGTTTGTAAGAAAATGGCGTTTAAGTGCTACAGTGATTTCGAAATTTGAAGCACATTTTCACAGAAAATGATTGAGTTTTCGAGAAACGTTATCTGACATTATTTAAAGCACATGTACTCATAAATACAAGAATGTGAACAAATTGCCGCTAGTATAAATCTAACGACGTGAGGGAAGTCAAAACACTTAAATTTTTGTAAATTTTGAAAAAACAAAAGAATAGAGCAATATCGCGTTTATGTCATCAGGTAGAGTGCATTTAGAACTATCCCTGTCAAAAGTTTAAAAAAAGAATTTTGAGTCTTTTTGTGAAAATCGTGTTTTTGTAATATTTAAAAATTGCTATTGTTTGCAATAATGCACGAAAACTACTAAAATTTTCAAAAGAATGTGCATGACCAAAGAACTCACTCTGGAAGAACTCACTCAGCTTTCAATGAAAAATCTCCATGTTCAATTCTGTAGTCGTAGAAAGACACCCGAAAAAAATTAAAATTTTGAAATTTTCAAAAATTCAGAGTTAAACCTGACAATTGGTCCTATTCCACCTTTATAAGTGTGTTTTACTGTCTTCGTACAAGAAATGTAAAGCAAAAAATATGGAGACATTTTTGAGAAAACTTTGAAAATGTTCGGAGGGCTTCATGTAAAGTACCCCAAATTTTAAAGATTTTTTCCTTTAAAATCTCGAAACAAGATTCGACACGAACGAGATGGACGTATGGTTTAGGCGCTAGTGGTTGATGTTCACAGACGGACATACAGACTGTCGATTTGAAAACAAAAATAACACTTTTTTGGTATCCGGGGATCCCAAAATGTATATTTCCGATGAAACCTCTAAATCGATTTTCCACAGCATTAGACAGCATTTTCTATACTACGTATATTACTCCGTATATACCTATGTATACGGGAAAGTAAAAATACGAAAATATGACCATAAATATGACTTTAACATTTTTTGGTTGCATTTTAGAAATTTCACAATCTAGTGTGTTTAAATGATCATTATATCTAAATATACTTTTAAAATCTAGTACATTCAATTTCCACCCCTTTTTTTACATTCAATTCACCCCGTCTCATGAAGACTTGCAACTTATTTATAGAATCGGTTGCCTTTGCACAAAATCTGGCAGAAATAATCCAATTCTTCCTTCGCATCTGGTGATTTCTATGCTACCTCTTTCTTGTATTTAGCTTATCCTCCTAATTCACATACACATATTTATAGGCAATATAGAAATAATTAGATAGAATTGAACAAAATTAGATAACAATTAGGAGACTGGAAAATCTCTTTGACGGGAGTGCAAGCAAATATTCTAAATTGCATAATTTTGGTCATTGTAGATAAAATCATGTTTAACGTATATTTTCCATGGAAATAACACAAAGAAAAAATACATGACATGTAAAAAACATAAGAAACTTACTAATAAAACACTGTATTCTCATTCATATTTACATACCCAATGCTTTAACGATCTGAATTAGTTGAAAAAAATCGTTATGAGGTTAAAGATCTTTACATTTTTTACATTTACATTTCTGACAGATTGGTAAGGAAGATTCGGTGCATACCTTTTGTGAGCTTAATAATGTAAACGAAAGTGCATCATACACCATCATTGTTCCTTTGGATTGCACGTAGGTTGTGATAGCGCACGTGACAAATGGAGAGAAAACTTCAATGTTTATTCATATTGTTTATTCATATATTTCATATCCAACGTCACGTTACATTAGCCTGGGAACGGAAGGCTAATGACAAGGCAGTTTCATTGGATGCGAATAAGCATTGAAAGGTTCTATCTAACGCAATCACATGACACGCGTTGGTATTAAAGGCACAGGCAAACAAGGTTCGTCGGCATACTGTCCCAGACTGTGATTAGGATCTCACCTACAGCAAGGTAAGTTGAACATTATTGTGATGGAAATGTTTCGCCGATTCAAGTTACTCTTTCATCACTGGCGATTTCTCAAGGGAGGGAAGATAGTTATGTCCTCATATATCGCCTTCTCTTTAATGTAATTACCGAATAACATATTGCTTTGAGGCACGAAGGAAACTGTATATTTGTTTCCTTTATAGTTATTTGGAAATTTGACTCAGATCCAGTTTAAACTGAGTGCGCTTTGTAAGCGACGCGGAAGTTCGAAATCGCTTTGAGGGGGAGTTCCCAGCGTTTCCTCCTCTCGTGTAGGAATCGTCCTTTTGACGCAGCTACGGCCAAATGAGGAAACTGTTTTAATGCAGTTTTATGGCATGAGGGGAGGAGGCCTGCCCCAAAGAGTAATCTCTTGTCTATTTTAATAAGTATAATTGCGAAGTCGATAAAGTCGAACTGTGAAGTCGATAAAGGGGTTTTGCACATTTAGGTCGAAATGGAAGAAGTTCCGAAGTGTCTACAGAGAGTACTGCTAAATTGAAATTGCCACAAAAGTACATTCTGTTGAAAGATTGGCAGGTGTTTGATTAGAACTGCCCACAAAGCCCTGATCTGTATACCCAATTATATAATTATTATATTGTTAAATAAATATGATTATGTTCCGCTACCGCTAAATTCCACGTATCCAATTCGGCATTTACTTTTCAATTACTAAAGTTGGTCTCAGAACTGAGAGAAAGTAAATTAGATTCAATTCAGTTCAATAAACTCGGAGGATTTGCTACTTTATTCCAATTTATAAAATTGAGACTTTTTTTGGTTTTGCATAGCATGTTCAAAAATATGAAAATATTCAAACCAGCTTTTTTAATTACTGCATAATACTGATGTAATCACATTTTCATAATTATGGATCATTTTTATGATGGGAGGATCAATTATAATTGTATTAATTTTCTATGACCATACAATGGACCATTTCAATTGTCTTCATAATTTGAAGAGTAGTACTGGAAGAGGGCATCAACTTATGTCACTGCAGTCCCTTTGACCGGGAGGTCCTAGGTTCGAGTCCCAACGGTGGTAAGATTTTCACACAAGCGTGTTAGCTAGGTCGAATTCAGTCGCTGTTTGAAGGACAATTATAGCGGCTGGCTGCTCTAATCGATAGTTTTCCGAGGTTTCCCGATCAACACCAGGTGAATGCCGGAGCAGTACCCTAACGAAGGGTCACGGGCCGCGCGCGATCTTTCCTTCCTCTACCTTGTCCTATCCTATATCTACCTGTCCTCACCGATTACCCACACACTTACACTAACATGTACTACAATACCACTCATGCCGGAGACCGGTCGGGAACTTAGAGCTTGACCCGGCCGGGGCCGTGTCCCGCTGGTGGGAGATACCTGGATGGGGAAAACCCCGCTAAATGACAGTAGGTCGGTGCCGGATCTCACCACACAGCAGGGGACCGCCACCTCCCGAGCAAAAACATTCGCAACACTTACGAGTCTAATGACCCGCCCGGAGTCACTAAAACAATCAATCGATTTCTCCGATTTAAACATTGCTGCACTTCAAGGAGAGAAGGATATTGTTATCCAATTGGGAGCCGAAATACCAAAATTTTAAGTTCTATCGAAGCTACCGATTGGATGACAGTTTTCCCCTCTCCTTCCAACTCGTGGGCATGAAGTGCAACCATGATTAAATCGAAGTAGGTATAGTAAATTTGAACACTGACTTTTACACCTTTATTTCCTTAGCACTTTGTTGAAATGAGATTTTTTAAAATAAATGTGTATAAGTAAATAGCCTATGTTCTTTTATTTCATAGAATTACTGATATTGAAAGTACCTTTTCATCAATTTCTTTCAACAAGTGAGATACTCTTGTGAACTTCAAATGGTTTTAATATTAATTTTTTTTTTCACAGAAAATACATGACTCATTTTATTGAATGATATAAATTAAGTTTAATTAAGCAGCCTTCAGACAACTTAAAGTGAGGGATAAATATGGGTAAAATATGAATTTTCTTTCAGTTTTTTCTTTATTATTACTAATGCTTTATGCAGACACAGATCCAGGAATTTGTCGAAGGAGTGGGCACAATTTCCTGTTCAATACCTGCAACACGGAAAGATTTTTTTCTGTGATCGCAATTCTGCATTCAAATGACTTCTTCAAAATACAGAGCGGGTAAGAGTACGCACATCAGATCTGTGCGCACACTTAGGTGGCGATGTATTGTTTTTCTAAAATTATCATACACAGCAGCACAATTCATTACACGTTGTCAAACGCGCCCATGTTATTTGGAACAACATTTACTCAGGAGTCTAGCATTGCTTCTTTTAAGGATGAAAACAGTAAACCGGTTGCTAAAGAGAGGAGAATGCACACGAGTTGAGTTGATCACACTCGCTCCTGCTGCCCCTGCTGCCGAAAGGGGAAAATGTCCCTGCGTACACTTACCACCCTTTCCCTCAATGCTTTCTTCAAACAAATACTGTATCGAATTGATTAACATAATCAACGCTACACATTGACATACTGATACACTGACAAACTACCGTGTTGAGATTCACACGAAGTAAGAGAAGACCCACTTTCATTGAATACGGGATTCTCCACAAGATTGAACACAAGGTAGCCTACAAAATTAAAACGTATCGGTGTTCTAGGATTAAAAAATCTAAATTTAGGATACCCATATGAAAGTAAAATTACAGATGTCTTATTCAGTATTAAGATTTAAAGATAAATTAATACAAAGGTACCTTACAGTTTATGTGTCTGGTTAAAGTCAAGTAATTCAAACTATTAGTAAATTTGTAAACAAGCAATTAATGAAAGTAACTACTAACATAATCGCTTCCCACAAATACCGATTTATACCATTTAATCCACACACTAGAAATTATACAATTCTTTTATTTTTATTTTCTCGCTACAGCTTACGCAGTAGAGAGAAAGTTATGTAATGTGCAAAAAAAGGGGACTTTTCGACAGAAAAACTCGTATTTCATGGGCCTAGCAACGGAAAGATGGATAAATCTAGTTGCTACATTTCGGAAAAAAAATTCTAACACGTGGTGTATTCAGAATCTATGTTTTGTAGATCCTAACCGAAAAATCAATTAACGACAAAACGTGTGTCAGTCCGTCCGACTGTGAAAAACACTACCGGCTAAAACGTCAGCCAATTTCCTCCAAAATTGATACTTCCCTATCAGTCCGGTTGATGTCATGTCGCTTGAATTTGAAACCTACTTATTAATTTTAAGGGGTACTTTACATGAAGCCATTAGGACATTTTCCAAATTTCCAAAAACAATGGCTCCATCTTTTTTGATTAAATTTTGTTGGATAGAGTGAAGGATGTTTAAGAAAACGTCTCATGTTTGTTAAAAACCCCGATTTTTCTAAAATTGCAAAAATTCAAATTGTTTTCGGTGTCTTTCTATATCTACAATTATAAAGATACTCTCTACTTACAATTAAATTCCTACTCTCTACTAACAGTTTATGTTACTTCTATAAAGCAATTTCTGGACTAGAAACAGTTCTTAATCTCGATATACGTGTCTGTAAATTAATTTTAGGAATGGTGAGTTTGCAATGAATAATTTTTTCGGGGTTCTGACTACTTATGTACCGGAAAAATGTAGTTTTATCTCTGTATTTTATATTTTTTCTATATTCTCACTATATCTTGAAATATATCACGTGAAGCGCCTACTTTCGCATTTCGGAATTGGGATGATGGTGCTAAAATTTGACGTACATACACGTGTATGTATGAACATTCAAAATATTGAAGGAACTTTTCACAAATGTAAGAAAGAGATGGGAGGAGTCAGAGTAAGAAAAGTGGTGAAGATGCTAGAAGCAGAGATCTACGAGCATTTCAAATAGTATGCAAATTTTACAAGCCACCAAATAACCTGTACAATGGTGTCTGTTTCATGTGCAGAAGAGGTGAGTCAAGATGTCGGTCCTCCCTGACGTCTCGAGTCTACTGCCCAACACCTTTTTCTACCCTCTGCTCTTTATCAGCTTGGTACTATGGTACCTGCACCAGCGCTTCCAGTCTTCCCGCCTCACCACGATGGTGAACAAGTTGCCAGGCCCAACCGCACTTCCCCTCATTGGCAACCTCTACCAACTCATCGGCCGCCTCAGGCCTCCGCGTAAGTTCACCCGAAACTTTGTATATGAAGATTGTTATCATTTTAATAATATTTTCAATGTAATGTGATTATTCATTGAATGAGAAGGACTGTGGGAAGAAAAATATATGCCAGAAATTATGTATGAAATTAAGAATTAATTCTCGTCAATCTGAATTTCTTTCAGAGCTTCTGCAGTATGCGATTAGTGAGTCAGCCAACTACGAGAAGGAAGGCGTCGTACGATTCTGGTTGGGGCCCACCAAACCTGTGATTGGGCTTTTCAACCCCGCTGATATTGAGGTAAGTGGGAAATAGAGTGGCCAGACTCTATTTTTTTACCTCTCCACTTGTATTTAAAAGATGCGAAAATAATGCGTACAAATTTTCAGAGCAAGTCTTTCTTCAATAATGGTACGATTAGAGGAGTCAATTCTTTAATAAAAGTATGGTAAATAAGAAAGCCCCGCTCCGATCATCACTCGTTTTCTTGAATACAGAGACCCAAACCGAAATCCGGACTACCCGAGATTACCCAAACCTGGACCCCCATTTAGTTTTAAATAATTTTAATTTCAATTTTCTGCACAATTACATTAAAATATTTTCAATGCATACCTTACTTAGTTATACAAATTCTATATTCTACTAAAAAAATTGGTTTAGTAATTTAAGAATAAAATATTTTTACGTAAACATTACATTTTGTGGGTTTTTAAAAAATGTTTTCTAAAGTGAGCCCCTTGCAAAAGTTTGAAGAAATGGGTGAAAAATAAATGATGAATTGTCAATATATTGAGCTCAGAATCATTTTACAAAAATACAAATTTAACAACTTGTAGATTAGAAGTTGTTTTACATGTCTTGCATATAGTCTATATATTCTAACGCGACAAAAGACACATATATAAGCATCTTCTTCCATCCCCGCACATTCTACATGTGCCCAGCGTGAACACTGTAGGCACATAATTCTCAGAAGGCCCTCTGAACGTTTTACAATGCAAAAGACGCACTCTGCATCTTCTTCACCTGGAAGGGAAGATATCCCTGGTAGAACTTCCAATGCGGAAGAGCCAGAGAACATGTCGATCGATTCCTCTCGGAAAGTGCAATCTCTTTTGCTTTTTGCTAACTTCAAAATTGTCTTAAATGTCTCTCTTTTTGACTTCTCTGGGATTCAAATCTGAAATTGTCTCTTAACCTCTTTCTTTTTTCTGCTTTCTCGAACTGATATGCTTCAGAGTAGACTCTTGCTTTGTATTAGACCCCTTACGAATAAAGAGTGTCTAAATTGTTTTATTTTAAAAGGCGAAAAATAGGGGACCCGTGATAGGAACCTTTGGAGGGCTCGGGTTTGGATAATATAAATTCCGAATGTCAATAACATTTTTCTAAGGCAAGTAAAATAAATTATATTACCCTACATCAATGGCTTGTAATGTCTCCTTCAATAAAATGTAATGTTTAGAATACTTATCAGTGAAGTAGGAAAATCAGGCAACTGATAATAAGCCCTAAAGAAAACTTTGCTGTTCCCTGTCCCCAACTGCAACCTAATGGCCGACTGTCCTGCAACAAGTAAAGATGAAGACGCTACCCCTTGATTAGGCCGCGGTCTTGGAAACAAACTATTTTAGTACGTTTTCGATAGGCAACAGAACTCTATCTCTCGTGCCTCTACAACCTTAATTACCATAATACCGCTGTATTGAGCAAATAAAATAAAAATATTTACCTTCAAAATGTACGATCATTAACTACACCCTGGTGTCCAGCAATATCTAGTCGTACCACTGACGAAACAGCTTCAATCCTCGGCTACATATCGGTACCATCTGATTTGTAAATGCATGAGAGCAAGTTTAAGGTTCAATACAAATTTAAGTGAAGCGCTATGCAGTAGTCTTCAGTAATTTTCACACAGCGTGAATTTGAAATTATGTTGGTGTAGACTAGAGCCCAATGTGTAATTGCAGAGTTGAATATCGCGACACTTCATTTAAAAAAGTGTTTATACGAGAACAATTCTAAACTTTATTCCACGGAGCGATTTTGTACATTTTGATATAATTGCCTTGCCGTATTTTTATGAAAAATATGAATCGAAAAAGAACTCATAACCCTCGTGTTTAGTGGCATGATTTAATCCCTTTGAAGATTTGTACTTCTAATTATTTAAGATTTTAAATTAGAGAGGAGGATATCAAAGAAATTTAAATTTTAACAAAAGGTCGACAACTCTAGTTTGAAAAAAAATTAAACTGAGGCGCATTTCACACTTCATAAATTCTCCTTCATATGAAACATCTTCTTCCAGGTCATTCTCAGCAGCAACGTCCATCTTGACAAGTCTGTAGAGTACCGTTGGTTCCAGCCATGGCTGGGTGATGGCCTTCTCATCAACTCTGGTGAGTTAACCAAAAACCTTTGAGTTGAAGAAAAGACAGTCTCATCAGAACATGCGTTTATTCCTGCAAGATTATTCGCTCGGATCAGACGTTATCGGCGAGTGTTGGTGGGCGGGAGTGAGGTACATCAACATCATACAGGTCACTTACTATTTAGAAAATAACCTGTGAAATTATTGTGTGATGAATTTAATTATTGTTTCTGATAGCAATGTATCAGAGAATGTCCTGGAATTTTTTAAACCAAAATTAAAACGAACAATAACTCAACTAGTAATTTTTTGAACGCGGGCGTTTGAAATGTATGCCCTTTGCTGTTAATTCACCCCAAAGAATGATTATAATTGTTTGTAGTCGAAGTTCGGAGCCAAATTTGAAATAATTTGTTTGCTTATTCTGCGATTTATGCAACTGTGCCCCTGTCAGGTATCAGCTGTTGACGATTTCATCCAATCGGAAGCTTAAACGTCACCATAGTAACGTTCAAGCTGCGAACTGGATGAAACCGTGATACCTGCCTGGGGCAGAGTTGCGAAAATCGCAGGATAGGTGAAAGCACTAATGAGTGAGTGAATTGCCCGCTCGCAGGCGAGAAGTGGCGCACCCACCGCAAGCTGATCGCGCCCGCCTTCCACCTGAACGTGCTCAAGAGCTTCATCCCGCAGTTCAACAGCAACGCCAAGCGCCTTGTGCAGCGTCTGCGCAAGGAGGCTGAGCGCGGCACCGAGTTCGACGTGCACGACTACATGAGCGAGTCCACCGTCGACGTGCTCATCGGTAGGCTCGCCCCCGCCCTCGCCCCCGTCCTCCCCCTCGCCCCCGTTCCCGCCCTCGCCCCCGCCCCCGCTCGGGCCAACAGGCGCTTGCCTAAGGCGACAAGGTCTTCTTACAAACCAAACGACGGAACGTTGTGGCACGTCATTGACTAAAACACGGAATAAAACGGAACATGAGCCATTTCTGATGAGGGAAAGGTTTCTCTAAAAAGAACCAGAAAAGGGAGAAAATAATGTTTACATGCCGTATGATCTACTCGTGCTTACTTTTTTATAAACTATTGCAAACCCAACGGAATACATTATGATAAATTTAAAACTGTTAAAATTAGACTGCACGTTATGCCGACTAGTCACTGTTACAAAAACAAGACATTTGGCGTCCCGTTTTTATGCCAAAAAATTCGGCACAGGGACTTAAAAAGAAGGGACTGTCACGACTAATACAGGGTGTCTGGTCACCTTACTCTTCCCTCGACTGCGCTAGGCAAGAGAGTCCGGCACTTCTTAGTTCATACGGAGAGAAAGAGACGGAAAACAGAGATTATTTGGCCGAAAAACTTATATTCCTTAGCCCTTCTAACGAAAAGACGGATAAATACTATTTCTGCGTATAAAAAATTACTTTGCCGATCCGGCGACTGAGATGTTTAAGGCAGTAGTAACATAGCCCATGGCGAGGGGGGGGTACTTGTAATATTCCACTGTAGACTATGTTCCACTTAGTAATATTAATAGATCATTGAACCATTATAAAAACTATGATGTTTCGAAGGACGTAGTCTATGGAGGACCTGGGATTTGTCAGAATGGACACAGATTATATATCATTCAATTCAAAACACCAAAAGTCTATTGTTTAATTTTGTTACAACTGCTTTTCACGAGTGGTTGAAACGTTTGCAGAAAAGTAGTGGTGTTATGGTAGTTTCAGCTCTCTACATGGTTCATATTCGCATTTGCAGAGACTGCTATGGGTGTTTCGACGGGTCACACCGGCGACAGGTCTGGTTTCGAGTATGCAATGGCTGTTATGAAGTAAGTACATTCCAGAAGTAATGTTGTCAATAGTAATAAAAAACATGTAGGGTAAAAAATATGAATTTTATTGAAAACAATTTTTTTTTAATGTACGCAAGTATAATTTTTAATGTAAATTGTATTTTTGTTTTAAATTAAATTTTTATCGATAAATGTTTATTTAGATAACTCATTAAACTAATGTGATATGTACACAAATTTTATGTATCCGGGAAAATCCAACTTAGTTTCTGTCAACACGAGCAATGGAGAAATGATCCCTTCCAAAAGGTAATAGAATGCTCAATGTCTTATAGTCGTGACCCAGGGCACGAATACTGATTTTCGGGGCTTAGGAGGACTAGTTCCAAGTTATGCACCAAGGTAGCCGGTGTTACTGCGTAACGTTTGTTGCGGGTGGTGGCGGATTAATTAATAGGCCCCAAGGGGAGTGCAAATGAGGGGCCCGTCACCCCCATTTTCATTTACCGCCCCTCACGATTTTATGTGTTATTAGGGTATGCATTCTCAATTTATACATCAACATATCTTTAAAAAATGGATGCAAGATTTTATTTTATTAAATTTTTGAAGTTCTGAAAATTTTTTAACAAAAAAACGTGACTTTCTGTCCAAAAATAAAAAAATATAAGAGTTTTTACGATTTAAAATGTACTCAATTTTCGCTTTTGTTATATGTCATTGAATTTGATAGTTGCATTTATGAGTTCAAAATGACTGTAAAATTAATACATGGTTACAAAAATTAAGAGTCTAACTCGTTTAATTACCAAAACATTTAAAACAAAATGTTTCATGACGTCGGGGCCCCTACGCAATTGGTTAATCCACTACTAGTTACGCGTTGCATGTAAGCTTGCTTTCATGTCGATGGTTTCTTACCAATGGTAGAACACAAACTTCATATTTATTTAGTGCATTATTTATAGAAGGGACATGCCAATTTCACGTTAAATTAAATTATAATAATTATCAAGTAATGTTTCCATACATTTGTGAAATATATATTTTTCTATTGAGAAACAATTTTATACAGGATTATAGATTACATATATTACGCATAATACTCGTAATTACGTCACTTTATTAACCAACAATATTTTGTAAATATCCCTTGTTTGTCTAGTTATGAGCTAGAATAACTCAGTACTGCTTCGTTTTTCCTATATTCAAGAAGTGTTCTAGGTGATTACAATGTATTTTGTCGATAAACATTTCGGATACTTTAGTAATTAACACGATGGAAGAGCGTAAGAACTAAAAAGATACAATTATGAAAAAAGTGGTGAAAATGTTGTTTTTTACTTAAATCAATTTAATAAAATATTCCAATAAAATGTATATTTTATTCAATAATTTCAATCGTCGCTACCCTAGTAGTTACAAATCGTTTTTGTTTTAGGATGTGCGACATTGTTCACCAGCGGGCATACAAATTCTGGCTGCGTTTGGATTCTCTCTTCCAATTCTCCCACTTCGCAAAGGAACAAGAGGGCTACCTGAAAACAATCCACGGCTTGTCCACCTCGGTAAATACTATACTCAATTCTTTTCTCAACTCCGATGGCTTATAATTTAAATAAATTCAACGAGATTTCATTTTCATACATCCAACATCGTTTTATAAACGATAACTGTGTATTTGGATAATAAATAAATGGGGCATTTTATTAATTAACGCGTGGAATGTAATAGGCACAATACGGAAAAATCTTGATGAGAAGTAGAAAAAAATGTTTTGGATTTAATACAATTATTTAAAAGGATATTGGAAAGAAATCACGATATAAATCAATTAAACTTTTCAAACGAAAAAAAATTATAATATAAATATTTAACGCTGACATTGTAATTTCCGTGAAAAATATAGATTTACAGAAAAGTTACTACAGCGTTCAATTGCAGCGAATATCAAAAAAAAATCCGTTGGTTTCATTAGGTTAGTTCCCGTACAACTTTTCCAATGAGAAGTAACATTTTGATCTTGTATCCGAATACAGTCGAATATGAATAAGTAAAATTTAAATTTTCCAACAATAATGTGTCAGGGAGTAAATATCAAATGCTCAAAATATTTCTACCTCCAGAGTTTTAGAGGAAAATATCAAGACTTCAAAAAATACATTTATAAATTTAAATAAATATAATCGTTAATATGTTTCCAATAAGAACGAGTTTACAAATACCCTATGATTAACGGCACAACTTAGTGGATCTGTTTAGATCTTGCCTAAAGGAAGTTGATCTTTTTGCAGGTCATTAAGAAGAAGAAGGAACTGTTCGACCGATTGCAGAGTGATCCTAAGCTGCAGCAACAATTTGCGGAGGATACCGAAAATGTTGATGTGACTGGCACTTTCCTTGACTCTAAGGGATACATCAAGGATGATCTGGATGATGACGTCGGTAAGTTTATTCAAGATAATTTCTATTAACTACACGTTCAAGATACACGAATATTAAAACTACTCTCAATAATAATATTGCAAAAGAGCGAATATACAGAAAACTCTCTCATTATATAGCTTGTAATCCTGCAAGACGGGCTCTTCTTAACTTCAAACGTTTATTTCCGCCCACACAATTATTGTTACATTACTATGACTTATATCAAGAGATCAGAGAGAAAGAAAAAGAAAGAGAGAGAAACAGAGAAGAGAAGGGCATGAGTCAAAAAATCAGAGTTTTTCAAATGGCACACGCCGGATTGCCTCTCAAATACAATTCTGCTTTTAAACTAAAACAATTTTCAAGAGGTTTTTTAACTATTTGATATCTTTATTAAATCATGATTGACAGTTTTATTGAAATTTAAAATCATATACTTATTTTTGACAATAAGAACACCATTAGGGCTACATATTGAAATATTAACTTCCGGCGCTTTCGAAGAGATCTTGATAGTTTTAATGTCATGTTCGTAGTGAACTCCGATCTGTCTCTATTATGCGCTGCGCGGCGATAATCCCAAAGGAAAGTACAAACATGTCTAGAATTTCTCATCGCGCAACTTCATTAGCACGTCTTGCTCGTGGTCATTCGCGACTGCGTCAACTGTCGTCAAGATACGAATGAGGCATTTAGGATGTGCTCGTGCGCAGGCGAGAAGAAGCGCCAGGCCTTCCTGGACCTGCTGCTGGAGACGAAGAAAGTGAACGGCACGCTGACCGACGCTGAGATCAAGGAGGAAGTGGACACCATCATGTTTGAGGGCCACGACACCACCGCCGCCGGCTCCAGCTTCGTGCTCTGCCTGCTGGGCATCCACCAGGACGTGCAGGTGCGTCGGCCGCCTTCGCGCTGCCCTTCTGTTCGCGTGCGCGCGCACATAGAGTTTAGGATGCGATCGAGTTAGATTTTCTTTTAATTATTTACGATCGCTTAGCAACTACTAAGGTCATATAGCGACCCCTGTAAGTAACATTGAGGATATCGGTAAACGGTATAAGGTAACACACACAAACATCAATTCCCTGGTTGGGATTTGAACCCGTGACCATTCAGGCACGGGGCAATCACGGGTATTTAACCTTAGCTACCCAGGCCGTCAATGGGGCAAGTTTGTGTGTATCCAACATTTAAAACAAAAATGAAAATACCTCATTTGAGCTTTTCAAACAGCAGCCGTAACGTAACTTATTGGTTTCTTACTTATTCTTACAGGCGAACTACTCTCTACTGTATCCGCAAAAGAGCTTGGTCTTATCCGATTCATTCCATTATGTGTTTTGTGTCACTGGTCCTCATTCCATTCACTTACACGAGACTAAATAATTAAATTGGGTAGAAAAGACACCTGATCGGGTCTAGAGTCATTAATCTTCACTTTCAAATAATGAACTGGAACCTAGAATGCCCCCTTGAAAGAAGGAATTCTAACATTAATCAAAGGTACGCCCTATTTATATCTCATTCTTTAAGGTAAATATTACCACCATTAGAAATATTTTTAGGACCGGATAGAGTACCTGCTGCAGGGGGCTACTGAAATAAGCAACTTTTACCCATTACAAATTGGCAATCGTTCTCACATTTACATTGCACAAAAGCATTTTTTGCGTATATGTTTCCACTTGTAGCTTTCCATGGATCAAACATCTACCCTTGCACACTTCACTGCTGCCTCCTTCCTAACCTGTATTGTCCTTTGGTGCGACCTCCCGCTACGGGCCTTGGCGGACCAGCGGTGACCCATCCTCTCAGCCATGGGAAGAAGGGTTCGTGAGGTTAACCCGAAGTCATTCCTACACCGTGTATTCTAGTCTTAGGGTAGGCTTCTCCTTCCTAAAGTGAAATAATTATAAACGTTGTCATTGCCAACAATAGTATTTAATATAAGAGCAGCTTTCGATGGCTTAGCCATCATCATCAGTTGTCTGCTGAATGGAAGCCACGAAACGACTACCATTCTATCTACGGCTCCCATTCAGCAGACAACTGATGATGATGGCTAAGCCATCGAAAGCTGCTCTTATATTAAATACTATTGTTGGCAATGACAAGGTTTATAATTATTTCATGAAAAATGCCAACGATAACGCAGCACAAAACCTATATTCTTCTTCCTAACCACCTTAGCAGTAACGAGGCTGCTATTCGTTTTCTGGTGAGTGATAACACGCGTTTGTTGTGCGCGCGGGCGCAGACGAAGGTGATGCAGGAGCTGAACGAGATCTTCGGCGACTCCGACCGCCCGGCCACCTTCAACGACACCCTGCAGATGAAGTACCTGGAGCGCGTCATCCTGGAGACGCTGCGCATGTACCCGCCAGTGCCGCTCATCGCGCGCAAGCTCAACCAGGACGTCAAGCTGGGTAAATGCCGCTCTGCGTAGTTCGAGCACGAAAATGTTTACCGGTGTTTTTGTTACTTCACACCGATTATATGAAAAAAATTCGAAGTGAATGACAACTCACGGGATTCAAAGTTTCGGTGTCCGTGCTATAGACACACCGATGAGCTTTCCGAACACTATGACGTCGACTCTAATTTCTTTCATTAATAACATTGTACTATGATTTTTGAATTTCTTAAAACGCACTTATAAATTTATCATTTTATTGAGTTAACTAAAACACCGTTGTATACGCACATTCCTAAATGAAAATAACGTAATTCATTAATTGATGTTGGATGACTACTTTTTGTGTTAGTGTGCGTCTCATCAATTTTTAAGTAACTTTACATAGCTCGTATTATTTCTTGGTGATAAAAGACCAGTTATTTAATGAGTAGTCGTTAAATTAATAGCATCTGTATGCTCGTTCTAAAGTTATAGCGTTGCAAAGTTATGGTTAAATTATAGCGGCAAGACTTTCACAAACTGTGTGGTGAAAAACACAGTAACTCTCTTTCCTTTTTGCAGTCGGATAATTGCAAAAAGAGATACGAAAAACGAAAAATACTTAAATGTCCTGTCCAATGTCAAAATTTATCTGTGGATCAGTAGCAAACCATTATTTTCCGTCCTTGGTAAGTTGTGTGAGCGTGGATAATACCAAGAGTGCGACGTACGGGCGTATGGGGCCGCAGATTCGATGCCATTTTCAAGTGGCCTTGCTTCCTCCTCTAACTCAGAATTAAGCACAGAGGGTCACGAGCTACGCCTTATCAATAAAGAAGGTACAATAATAGATATGCCTCACGACCACATCGGCGCGATAGATCGGTGGTACACTTCGAGGAAACAGACTCAACCGGGAGAGGCACGTCTATAGGAACGTACAAAAAAAATGCAACAGGAATACACACAGTCACACAGAACTATTTTATTCTCTAATTGCTTCGTTAAGTCTGAGCACTAGGTCGCTTCCCAGAACAGCGGAATGTTTCGAAGATGAAGCGACATAACAAAGTCCAGTATTTTGCTTCCCTTGCAGCGACTGGGTACACGATCCCTGCCAACTGCACGGTCGTGATTGGCACCTTCAAGGTCCACCGCCACCCACAGATCTACGAGAACCCCAACGTCTTCAACCCCGACAACTTCCTGCCGGAGAAGATGGCCAGCCGCCACTACTACTCGTACATCCCGTTCAGCGCTGGCCCTCGGAGCTGCGTCGGTAAGTGCTCCCACAGAACGATGACACTGTTATGATTCTTTTCTCAAATTAATTTAAATTAGCTCTTTTTAAATACTACGTCGTCAGCGATCCCTATCATTATACAACAGAACAAACAAAGCCAGGAATTGCAGTTTTTACAAATATAATCATGACAAAGTCACTTACACTATCTCAAATTATTAAGTATATGTTTAACCTAGCAAGTGATCAATTACAATATTCAATGATTATTGAGAAGCGAATTTGAAACAAATATTTGCGTACTTTTCAAATTTAGGACTAAATTTTTAAATTATTTTTTAATTTTAAAATTTAAAAAAATCCCCAAAAGGCTCCAATTTTTGTCGGATTATAAAACTAGCGTAGGTTCCATTTTTCCTCAATATTTTCGAAATATGCAAAATATTAACATGGCAAAACTACAATATTGACTATAGCACCTTTTTAATTAATGAAATAATTTCTTAAAAAGTAGATTTTGATAATATTGTTATGGAAATTATTAAGATGTCGCTAATTAAGAAACTTCTTGCTCAATTTCACGAAAAAATAGGTGGGGCGGGGGCAATCATAATGCGCATACCTAAAGAACACTATTGTGCAAATATATTCATTAAGCAAATCATTCACAAGTTGATAAACAAGTTCAAAGGTAGAAAGCCAAAGGTGCCTAATAGACACGTCCGCTTCCTGTAGACTTGACGAACCACTGTGGCATTTGCATAGTAATATGTTTACATACATTTCAATTCAAACTCTTCCCACGCAACTCGATCAATATTCGTCTCCTTGGAGGTCATTCAGGATACTTCCTTGCGAAAGCCCTCCCCAGGCACACTGCCGTTGCTGAAATTTCATTTCGGGGAGCCCAAGTGAATCCGACATACATTTACTATGACATTTATAAATAAAACCTATGGAGGGGAAGATTTTGTACCTTTTAATGTCCGCATGAGGTGAAGTACCTATTTATTTTTCTCTGCTATTATTTAAGTAAAAATAGTTCAGTTTATATTTTAACTATTCAAAAAGAGTAATCGTGAAGTGATGGTCTAGTCTTCAAGTAATTTACCTGCATACGAGCGTGAGCTAATTCAAGTAATTTTTGAAACTCATTAGTGTAAAATTTGTTTGCTTCACTTTTGCAGTTGCCTGAAGTTATAATCATGAACCGATAATACAATATTAGACGGAATTGAGTTTTTATCGCGGGGGGATATTTTTGTAGCCTCCTACCTTAATTTGGCTTTGGCCAAGGACGACTTATTAGACAAACTAGAGTAGTTTTCATTGACTTAGTTGTTAACTTCTAGACATGTCTTCACTTGTCATCATTAACTTCCTCTGACTTGCATGTCCTTGGTCATTAAACGTCATTCTGAAGCTCAAAGTATTGCTATTTACGCTGATATTGTACAGAGGGGTTACTCTAGAAAGGAATCACTTTGATAGGCCGGGAAACAAATGAACCCCATGCAAGGCGAAGACATTGCTAGATATAGTGACGAAGCCAATTAAAAATGACCAACTGTAAACGAAAACACTGACAAAACGAGTGTATGTACGTTCCTTGCAGTTATATTGCCAGCAATGGTCAAGAAGTAGCTGTCAAAGCGGTCCCTTGTTATAATACGTGTGTATATACTTTGGCGCAATAGCCTTTGACGAAGCCTGGGTCTACCAGCGGCTTCCCGGCCTTGTAACCATGGGTTACGTGGTTATCACATAGACATACCTACACCTTATTTTGGTCTCCTCAACCTGAGGAGTGAGTTTTCGCATCGTCGCACAGCAACGTACACCGGGACATTGCAAGGAAAGCGCAAACTATAATCTCGCCCGACCGGGAATCGAACCTGGGAAAGCGAGCGCGCTCCCCAACGCGGGCTAGTCCTCCTCACAGTAATTTGCCGTCTTTCTGCCTCGCAGGCCGCAAGTACGCCATGCTGAAGCTGAAGGTGCTGCTGTCGACGCTGCTGCGCAACTACAAGGTGGTGTCCAACGTGTCGGAGAGCGAGTTCGTGCTGCGCGGCGACATCATCCTCAAGCGCGACGACGGCTTCCGCATCAAGCTGGAGCCGCGCTCCCGCGTGCAGGCCGCCGCCTGAGCGCGCCGCCGCCGCCGCCTCCGCCTCCACGCCACCGACACCACTCCACGGCGCACGTCACTCACTCCACACACACCCCGCCACGCCGCGCCACGCCCCGCGCCCGCTAACAACGCGCACCGCTCCGCTCCGCTCCGGGAGAGGCTGGGAACACAAGACGCACGACCTAACTAACTTATTCTTTGCCTGCCATCCTCCTTACTCGTCCACTCGTAGCTACCGAGTTCCTTCCCCGACCATCCCAGCTCTCTTCTTGCCTATCTCTCTCTCGCTGTCCCTTTCTGCCTCGACTTTCGCTTGACTCGCCGCGCGGGCGTCGACCGCAGTGGTTATCTGTCTGCACGGGGCCGAGCCCACAACGTCTGCCGCAGCTTCACTTCCTTTTTTATTATTTTTTGTAATAATGATGTATTCCTCGGAAGCGCCGGCCGCAGAATGCCTCAAAGGCACGACTGATACCGTTGTAGCACTTATGTAATAAATATTATTGTAAATAAAACGGCACAGTCTATATTTCTGTTTTCTTATTTGGGCACTACCTCACGTGATATTTCCACCTGCATGGCTATGCAAGTAGATTGTAACCTTCCGTTTATTCCGACAATTCCTTTCCGTTTTGAAAATTATTAGTAAGTGAAATAATGAACTCGTCAAACATGACATGACACCAAAACTATGAAAGTGAAAGGCAATGCGTTAAAATCACATTGAATATACATAAGGCTACTTTATGCCAAGTGACTTGGATGCCTCATTGGCATCCAAAAACAAGCAAGAAACCAAGAGAAAAAGTAAACTACTAGTATCTTTATTTTCATATCATCGTTTTCCAAACCTCTATAACATTACTTAGTTTTCCTTTCACTTCAAAACATAAACTAGTAGTACTACAGAATGGCACAGACTTTCTCGTACTAATTAGTTTTCTTATGTTTTGTCTGGACTAGGTTTTCGGTTTTGTTCCAACCCTCTCTCCAACTTCTCCCAATCGGCGCGTAAAACACATTTTTTCGCATTTGCTCAATTTTTGGGTCTCCTAATAGCAGAATAGAACTTGTAGGGCTACAACACTACATATTTTGCGCATTATTTCCAACTTTTGTAATTTTTAATTTTGTAATTCAGAAACTTCCATGAAAATGATATCTGCAGTGTTTTAAGCGTCCTTTACTCTTAAAAATAGAGCAAACAAAAAATAGAGTAAAAATGAGAACAAACATATTAATTGCTTTTGTTTTAAGCAACCATTACATGAAAACAACTAATTTTTTTCAAATAAGTGTATGCTCATAAAATATAAAAAATATAAATTGCCTTCACTTTACGAATAAATTACGAAAAAGTAAAAATTTTCTGTAAAAATGAGCTTCAAATTTGAATTTTCAGAAATGTTCAACGAAATGTTCTCATACACACCTCCAAATTTTTCACTGAAAATTTCGATTTTGTTCGAGATTTTACTCTTCTATAATATTCTTACAGTAATGTTTCATTTCTACCATTAAGAGACCGAAGAACTGTCGAAATGTGAAAAAATGTTCTTTGGACGGTGATAGATGGCAGCTCGGAAGAGGGTGGGCCAAAATCGAAAAACTAGCTCAGAAAACCCACTAGTATGAGAAAGTCTACGCCAGCCTGAAGCACTAATTTGTTTTATTTTATTGCTATACTGCTAGCAATGAGAGAAAACAATGTTCTTTCTATTAAAATACAAGATATTAGTTACACCTCCATTAATATACATTAGTTTTAAAATTAATAGTAAGCTAAATGATGTTTTTAAAGCTAGTCTCTCTTCAGAAACTATTCCATGAGTCTGTATGTGACAGGGTAGCAGATATACGAAATGACACATATCTGTATGAAGGAAACTGGACTATTTCGTTAGCCACCTCGTTTTATTATTGCAATATGTTTTAAAAAATAGTCGCTCAAATACGTTCATGTTCAATTTTTTGAAAAATCTAGCAGTTTTTTTCGTAAGACCAAAAAACAAAGCGAAAAACACTTCTTCGGTATCAGGGAACTCCAAAACGTGTATTTCCGTTAAAATCTCGAAACTGCTTTCCGCAGCATTACGTAACTTTCTCTATTCCTCTTCCTTCCTCTTCGTATATTATTCAGCATATACGTACGTATACGAGAAAGTAAAAATTGGTAAACTATCATACCTTGAAACTCTAAACAGCTCACCAAACCAAGGGACTCAAATTAATCACTTCCACATTCAAAGACTTCCATACACGTATACTAATACTGATAACTCTAGGACCCGTTTTATTTGGCTACGAAGTACAGACTTGTCCTCGGTGGCACTCATCGGCGTCGTACGTTCAGGCAAAGGGCGGTAGAAGAAAGTATTCTGAGGGGGTGGGAGGATTTCAGTCGGAACTCTGCTTTCTAAATATTTTTGAAATATTATAACTACAAAATTATTAGTTTGATTTTTTAAACTGGATATTCATAATGGAAATATTAACGTAGGTTTATGATGCGATTAATTGGTGATAATTGTTTTGAATACCTTGAGTTAAATTAGTAGAACTCAAAACACTGGAATGTACTCGTACTTTTGTAGTCATTAAAACGTCGAATATGAAAATGTTAAAGATATATTTTGTTATGAATCAGGGCTGCGAAACAGTCAAATAGCTGCAGTGACGTATTAGATAAGAGCATTGAACGCGAACCTACGTGCACGAGGTCAAAATTTTGCCAAACAAAATATTTTTGCGAGTTGGAGAGAGTTTTAAATTAAACATACTCTAAAAAGTAAATTTAGAAATATTTAAAATTAAAAAGGTTAAAAATAAAAACATATTAGGGTAGACCGAAAAAATCCATTTTTACGGACGACCAAAAGCCCAAACAAAATGACACGCTGCATACAAAAGCGTCCTCCGCAGTCACTGGACACAAGGCAAACGTGGACGGCTGTCGCGTGAGTGGGCGGGGCGCGAGGCGGGTGCGAGGCGGGGCGGGGCGGGGCGGGCACGGGGCGGGGCGGGGGCGGGGAGTGTGCGGCGAGCATGGCAGTACCGGGCGGGGCAGGCGGGCGCGGGGCGGGCGGGGCGGGCGGGTGGCGGGGCGGCCGGGGCGCTCGCCAAGCGAAGAGGCGAGGGCGTTGCCGTGGAAGTGCGCGGGACCGGAACAGCACAATGCGCCTACGTCCGATCTTAGGGAAGAACAATCCTCTTCGCTTCACGCTCTCCCTCCTCCCTCCCCTCCCCTCCCTCCCCCTTCCCCCTCCCCCTCCCACCGCCCGCCCTTCGCTTGCTGCCGCCGCGTCCGCCAACGCCACTGTCGCCGTCGTCCAGCCACTTCAGTAGCAACAGGGTTTTAAAGGGAAATTCCTTTTCGCCTCTAATAACCAGGCATGGAAGAAATTCACAAGAATCTCGTTTGCTCCAACTCCGATATCTCTAATTTCTTGATAAGTCGACTTTTTGCTCATCCTTACGTATTGTTCTTTAAACATAATGGCCTCGTAGCTTTCCAGGGAATGCGATTAAAGAAAACGGCGCTTCTTTTCCTTCAGTCAACAGGGAGTTAGTTACGACGGAATTTAATTTAATGAGTGATAAGTGGTCTTTGTGATTTACAATATCGATGCATAGAAATATTTATATAACTATATTGTTCCTTTCCACTCTTCAAACTTATCATATTGAGATTTCCTAGTTCAATCATCGCTAAGAAATAATGATCTAAAACGTGAACGTCAACTCCCTGAATTTTCACTTTACTAACACAATTTTCTTTTCTGGCGTCATACTTTTATTAATAAGCCGTGCGCGAAACGTGGTTTCTCGTGCTTGTTTTCCATGTGCGAAACAGGTAATTTTTTGACCGTGTACGACACATCGCGAAGCATGTGCGAAACAGTTGCAACAATTCGCAAATTGTCTGACTTCTTTGTTTTGATTTACAAACACGTGTTACGACACTGACTGGAATCTATTGTGTACAAGAAAGCTATTTCTAGTTTTTGGATTTTTAATTTATATTCCTTTACTTGATGCGTTACGATTCGCTCACAGAGTATTAAAAAAATCGTCTCCTTCGTGAATCACATGTTTCGCTATTTACCTACTGATATTCCGATATTACATGTGGATGAACGACATTCTCGATTGTCAAAATCAGTGGAGAACGATAACGCCTTTTGTTGTTACAAGCTCGATTAAAATAAGAAGACTACTTGATTAAAAAGATGCGCGTGGCACATGTCCAATTTTCACGTGTAACTCTGAATTTTTGAAAATTTCAAAAGTATGGATTTTTTGGTGTCTTCCTACAACTACAAAATTAAAGATAGAGATTTTTCCATCAAATGAAATTTGTTCTCCAAAATTTGTTCTTTCATTAACGTCATACACATTTTCTTCAAAGTTTTAGTATTTTTCGAGGAATATTGTTTGCAATATGTGTAATTTAAAAAAAATACAAAAAATTACAAAAAGACATGATTTTCTCGACAACGGTTCCAAATTTTTCCTTTAAACTTTTGGGATAGTGCTAAACGTAAGATGATATAAAGGCCATATAGCTCTCTTCCTTTGTTTTTTTCAAAAATTACAGAAATGTAATTTTTTGACTTGTCTCTGACGTTAATATTAGCAGCAATTTGTTCACATTATTGTATTTATGAGTACATGCGCTTTAAATAATGTCATATAAAGCTTCTAGAAAGCCCATCCGTTTTCTGTCAAAACTAACATATAATTTTGAAGCATTTTCTAAAATGCTAATGTTTGTTAACAGGGGAAGGGGACAGGATATGGTCCTGCCCAAACCATACATTCTATTGTAATTCGGATTCCAAGAAGCGTAAAACCCAGATTTCAAAATATCTTTGGTTCAATAATAAAATGTCTGAGAAAGAAAACAAGAAAACAAACACGACTTATATTTTATAAAACAATAGCCATCCCCATACTTTATGGATGAGAGACGTGGAACATGAAAAAGAAATATTTTACCTGAATTCAGACGTCTGA